AGCACTGCTGGGCTCTTTGAAAGGGGGGGAAACGCCGGCCCAGGTTTCTACATGCACATCGGCTAAATACACCCACGGCAGGGCCAACCTCTGCTCTTATTTGTGCTGGGGTAAACACAAGACAAGTCTCTCCGTCCTCCAGCAGCTCAGGCAAGGTAACAGGCAGCCAACCGTATATCCCACCCCTGGTCTGAAGACAGCTCTCGCTCCCTCCCGCCAGCTCTGGTCCCGGTGGGTTGCTCTGGTCCCACCCAGCCCTGCAGCCACGTCACAGCCTGGCCTGCACATCTAGAGGCTGCACTTACCTGGAGAGCAGGAAGGCGGCTTTGCTGGTTGGGAATGACTTTTATTGAGACCATCCCCTTGGTTTCTTTCTAGTGAACAAAGGAAGGGGAGAGAAAGAAGTGTTGGAGGAGGTGGTGCCTGGAGCCACCCTGACAGCAGCAACCTGCTCCAGGGAGCTGGTGCCTGCAAGGACCCACAGAGGAAGGGCTCCTGAGCGCTCCCAGCCATGCTGTGACGCTGGAGGGTACCAGGAGCCCAGCCAGAAATCGCTCCACTGGGGCTGGGCTAAAAGCTGTAGTAGCTTAGCTTGCCTGCACTTGTGCCTGTCCCCATGGGATGACACCAGCGCCCCCAGAAAGGGCTGGCTGTGGGCCCTGCTATGCCTCACCAGCACGACCCCGCAGATCTGCCCCGTCTCCAGCCCGGCTGCAGAGAGCCTGGGAGAAGAGGGCGGTGGGGCTAGCGCAAGCTGCAGTGGGGTCCAGGCCTCCTGCTGCGCTTGCTGATGGGTGCTCTCAGCACCACCAAGGCCTCCCTGCAGCCAGGACCCCGCGCAGCAGACACGGATCAGGACGGCCTCAGTGCGTGAGCCTAAGGCACCGCTGAGACCCTGCTCAGAGGTGTCTGGGACTGCTCCCTAGTGAGCGTCAGGCAGGACCACCATGACCTGAACAGCGGGAACATGGCCACCACATGGTCCTCCCCATGGTCACCTCCATTCATCCCAGCTCTTCTGGGGCTGGAGGGCAGCGATGGTCCAGCCAGTGCCCAAGGCACGGCCCCCTTCTCAGAGTGCTGCGAGAACAGCCGGCCTCTGCGCTCAGCAGCTGAGCGCTGCACGCCTCCGTGAGCAGAGATGGTTGCCAAGCACCCACACACATCGGGACACGTCAGGGACCTGAGTGATGCTGCTCAGCAAACAGCCTTTGCTGCTGCTCTCAGGAGGCCCGAAACAAGCAGCAAGCAGAGACCGCTGAAGCTGCGTACAGGGCCTTGGCTTTGAAAGGGCCGTATTAAAGCACCTCAGCAGAGCAGCCCTGGCTCCCGCTGCATCGCACTGATGCGGGCAGCTCGGTGTTAAAAATCAGACAATATGCATGTTTGTAGGACAAAAGGTCCTTCTTCGGGAACGGCCCCGCCAAAACCAAATACCTACCAGCATCTTCTGTAGCTGGTCAACTGAGTGGTTGCTCACACTCTGCCCATTGATTTCTATGATTTCATCACCCACGTGAAGGGACCCTGCCAGCGATGGGAGAAACAAACCCATGAAAGGCAGGAGCAGGCAAGAGTCACTCACCAAACCCAAACCGCGCAGCTCCACCAGCCTCCCGCCTCCCTAGCCGAGCTCTGTCCCGACGCCTTGGGGTTCGGTTTCTCCGGGCAGTGCTTGCAGAACCACAAATATCACCTAGGCCGCAGGGGACAAAGCGGGGAAGGGGACCGGATTCTCCCCGCCGCACCCAATGCACACATCTCATCCAATCTGAAGGTCATCGGGTTACTTTCCTCTGTATGTCCTTCAGTGCTTTAGGTTGTGACTAAGGCATCTGTTTTAGAGGTAACCAAACCCAGCCTCGAGTATCTCACCTCAAACCAAATGACAGTCTCCTTACAGAGCCCTTGGACACGGGAGTGCTTGACTTTGTGTGTTTTCAGTGAATACATCCAGCCAAATTTCAGCCTCAGCTATACTGCTATAAATCAGACTCCAGCAGCGCTACTAGAATGGCTCCTGGGTTATTTTAGCACGGGTAAGCTCAGACTTCCCACTTGGACGCAAGGCTGGAAAAGGGGCCTCTTGTTGTAAGTACAGAACATCTCATTTCCATACCCCCTTTGCAAGTGCCAAAACCAGAAAATGGCACCTATTTATTTCTTTTGGCACCTTCCTTTGGTTTCCAGAGCCAATCCATAGCAATCCTGTCCCATCCGTGTACTTTAGGAATGGGAAGAGCATCCTGCCCAGTCTCTGGGGCATAATCCATCTGTTACAGTGACCCCTCATGAGACAGACAGAGACAGTCTCGGGTCCCATTTCTGGAGATCCCTTCCCCCAACCCTTAATTTCTCTCCAAAACCTCCAATACATTAACACAACCACCAGGCAGAGAGAGAGAACTGAGAGTCCTGGGTTCCTGGTGGAGGAACAGACAGAGTTGACCATGTGATACGGAAAAGCCAGCAGCGCTGTTGAGCTGCCTTGTCTCTGCACAGGAAGAAACCAGCTGCAGAGGTGCACCTGGTACACTGCCTCTGCAGGGGCCTCAGCTGCTAGACTCCCTGTCCCTTGCCGTTACCTTGTCTGTGAATCATGCCCCCGTGGAAGATCCTGGCCACCATGCAGCTCTGCTTGTCGTTCAGCTTCAGTGTGATTCCCTGGAAGACAGGAAAATCCATGACTACCCGCTGGAGGGGAGAGCTCCCATCACAGTCCTCTCTGGGCTAGTGTCAACAGCAGGCTGCACAGTGTCTGGGGAAAAGCCCTCTGCTTGGCCAGTCCAACCTGAACTCCTGAAGTTCCTCTTGGCACAAGCATCACCCGTTGATGAGGCTCCCTCCAGGTCCCCAGGGAGGAGGCAGTATCCAGCACTCTCTTCCTCAGGTTGAGGTCTCCAGCGATCTCCAGACTCCCCAGAGGCCAGCATGTTAGCATGGCTCTGCCTGCCCCTCTGCCCCCCTCCAGTGCCACCAAGCTTTGGGACCTTGCCAGCTCTCACCATGGGCTCCTCGGTGACCTTCTCAAACTGGACAAGGCGTATCTTCCGCACCTCACGGCCATTCGCGTGGGAGGGACTGCCCAGAGTCGCTGAGCCGTTGGTATAAATGTCCTCAGTCATGGCATTCAGGGACTGAGTGACGGCCTGTCAGGGCAGAAGAAGACCAGGGTTTAGGGGCTCCACCAAAACGGGCAAGGGGGAGCCCTGGGACTCCCAGCTCCCCACTGTGGTGCTGAGCTACTCCAGTGTTAATGTTCCTGGGCACAGAGGGGAGGGAGGTCTTGGTCAGTAGAAGAGAGGACAGTAAGAAGAAGAAAAGGAAAAAAGAATGTCACCCTTGAAGATGTGGGCCTGATTAGCATTTTTCCAGCTTGGGAAATTCTATGAGGTACAAAGACTTTGGAAAAGTACAGGTACCAGAAGCCAAAAGAGTCCACAGCTGGTCATCTTCTGCAGCAACGAGTCCCAAACACTATTTATGTGCCGCAGCAGCACTTGGCTCCAAAGCTGGCTTGTTGCAGAGCGTAAAGCCCAGGACAGCTTCATGGAGTGAATGGAGCAGTTTGGGACTCACCCAGGGGGAATAGGAGGAAAACTGGGGCCAGGCTCTACTCATGCTCAGTTTGCAAGTTCAGCTTTTCCACACCTAGGACAATAGGCAACCGACACAGTCCAGAGACATGTCCTCATCTGGAGATGTCCAGGAACCAGCAAGCCCCTCCACAGCAATTCCCTCCACAGAAGGCTTTCGAAAAGCATTAGCCAGAGATCAGATCCTGCAAGGCACCCCAAAGCCCTCACATGACTTTCATGGTATCATCACTGACAGTGCACATCTAACAAACGGACTGCTCCCAGCAGAAAGCCCACCCCAGGAGCGAGGCTGCAGTGCACAGATGGTCAACCAGTCAACGCTCAAGCCAGTGAGGAACCCCAGAACTGCCCAAAAGAGCTTCCCCAAAGCCTTATGCATCCTGTCTGAGGTGGCCCTATGAAGGGCTGGGCCTGCCTACACTCAGAGTTTGGGGGATATCCTCCAGGTCTGCAGTGGCCTCCTCCTGCCGTTTTTGGAGGACTCCTGGGGCTGCCTGGCCCCCATCCCATGGCCACCACAGCTAAGAGGCAGAGGACCACAACAACGCCATAGACAAGGCCAGAGAGAAGTCCCATCCAGGCACCAAAGGCAAAGCGCTCCCAAGCCAGAGCTTCCAAGCCAGCCAGAAACTCTCCATTCCCCTCCCCGGCACCCAGCCATGGGCAGGTCTGTGCTGGTGGGCAGTGGGAAGCCAAAGCACAGAACTTCAGCAGTGGGGAAATCTCCATGTTCCTTGTCCCTGGCTTGAGGTAGGTGCTGGGACCGGGAGCAGGTGGAAAGTGCATGGAGTCCCAGCTGGAGACCCTGTCGTGTAGCGTTGAGCCCTGCTGAGCTCCTTAGTCTCTGCACAGCTGGCAGACATGTACCTTCGGCCCCGGGTGCAGCGACCTGCCTTGTGCTGCAGCCACCACAGCTCTCCTGAATCAGTGCTGGGCCAGAGCCTAGCAAAACCCACACCAGCTCCGACCTGCGGCCCCTGCCCACCTTGCTGGCATGGTCGAATCCCTCCCTGCGCCCAGGCTTGGCTGGGGCAGCTCCCGCTAGCCCACGAGAGCAAACCCTCCCCAGCGCCCCTCTCCATAGGAGGCCACCAGCTTTGCAGCCACCTTTCCTGCCGTTGCTCTTCTAAGAACGGATCACACCGTCTGTCCTAGTGGGGCCCAAGTCAGGAGCCACTGGCAGCCAACCCCAAGGGGCACTCCA